CGAACTAATGTAACGTCATATGGTGAGTTTTTGTTCGTATCGTGGAGCAAAAATATGTTCGAATTTCATGTTGTATCCTGAAAATTTCGTATGCTGGGGCGTTCGTAACCTGAGGTACCACTGTATTCTATAAATTGTGTAATTGCCAGCAACTGAATCAGAAGTTACCAGGATCAGACTAATTTTCTGAACTCAAGTTACTATATTTCAGTTTTATTTTTTATTTTAATGGTCTTTTATAGGCTGATTTTGTTGTATTGAGAGTTTTCATCAGAGTAACATGAAATGTATTTTGTATTCTGCCTGGATTTCATTTAAACATGTAATCTAGATGATCCTTCTGTTATGGAGTCATTAATGATATTTCCATTCTAGAAGAGTGGGGATTTTTGCATTTTGTGATAATGATTAGCTCTTCTCTAATGAATAGAGATTGATGTAAAGTTTTTGTATGTTTTTCTGGTACAAACATACAAAAACTGGTTTTTTGGACCAAAAAAATTATTTTAATTAACTGGAGTTTGTGCCAATTATCAATCATGATTATGGGTAAAAACCTTCAAAATCTTTCCTTTCTGAAGGTTACATGCTATAATTGTTTGGTATGGCTTGCTTATCTGTTACTATAGTAACTCATTGTCAGTATTGGTGTGATGGAGACATTTGACTCATTAAAATTGATAGGACTAGTTTATAATCCTAGTATGAATTTCTCTTTACCAATATAAAAGATTTATTGACCAACAATAATCTAAAGTTAAAGCCTTTATGAAAGGCTTTAAATTTACTAACCTTTGGCTGGAGAATTGGTGATTTTTAGTGAATCTTTTAATTATCATGGATCAGAATTGCGTATTGCCAAACATCTTCACAAGCGCTGGTGAATATTGAATTAGACAATATTAGTTTGGAGGTACGCACTGCTGGTTTTTTGCATGCTAAATTTACACATGTGCTCAATATGGTAAAAAAAAATCACTATTTCCAAGCACTATGCTATGAACAAGAGGGAAATTTCTGTGGTCCAAACATCATTGCCATACCTTGGACCCATTTCTATATGTGAGATCCATTTTGCTTCTTTAATAAATAAATGTTATATTGTTTAAATATGGTAGTCTCCTTTACTCGATCCCGCCCTTCACCTTCTCGTCGACCCCAAGCAACACTCCCTCCACTCACCTGACGTATCATCCTGACTAGTGACAGAGGCGGCTGACTTCTGACCTCCCTCTGGTTCACATATATGTATTTGCCATATTTTTAAACAGCATAAGCTTGTCCTGCCACTATCCCCACTTCTAAATCTATGCAAGCTCATTTGCAATGATCAGGATAAGTTTTCTACTCTTGAGAAGTTGGGAGGGATCTATGCTGTATCATTGGATAATCTTGCAATGGGAGTAAACATAAGATACATTTGGGCAACAACAAGCATGCTTGCTAGCCGCCTAGCAGAACACCAAGAGGATGTTGTGAAGGAAAGGTGCACTACAGAACTTGCAAAAAAAGTATTTGAGCAGGGTTACAATTTGCTATGGTCCCAAGCAACTATGCTCAAGAGCTGCAAAAATTGCAAACTTGTTTTTATATGGGAGTCCCTTCTTACTAATACCTTGAATACATGCAACACTCCCACCCTCGACCTGCCCAGTGTATGGGTCACACTGTATAAGCAGTTAAACAATTGTCATTATCCTCCATCATAATTATAATGTGAGCCTAGATCCACGCATGCGCCGCTTTGCTTATTACATAACTTACTGCTGGTTTAATTCCGAACACATTTGAATATTTGTTGCTTGTGCCTAATGGTCTTGTCAAAAGTTTTAAATTTTGAATTATATGCATTCTGCTCTTCATTGAATTATTTCTGTTTGTTTTTATTAACTTTCTGTATTTGCGTGAAGACGATGACAACATTAGGATCGTTGAAAGTACTTGCGATAAATGCACATATAATGCCAATCTCAGTGATTTCTCTGTCCTACTATACAGTATTTGGTGTGAATATCAACCCATTGATTATTAAGTTATATTGAAAAAATATTGGTTTTAATGGAGGAATACCTTTAAAAATTAATAATTGTTTACTCCATTCTATACTATGGTGTTTAAATTATAATGGAGCTATATTTCAATAATAAACTTTTATGTATTAAGATAGACAATTTCTGAGATAGAGATTGATCTGCTATTTCAGATTTTGTCAAATCCATATTAGAATCTATAAAATTTTTATAGTGATATGAGCTGGAAATCTCAGAAATAGTCTGTTTTGGTCTTGATGAAACTTGTGATGGGTTTGAAGACAGGTTCTCTTAAAGCTAGTTTATGTAATATTACTGCTGACATTTTGTTCCCTGAATATGCAGTATACATGGACAAACTTGTCTGTCAACATTGCTGACAAGTTGCAAGTCATATTCTTGTTGAAGAGAATGTAATCTGTTAAATTTTTTGCTTGTTGTTGCATTGCCAAACCAAAATCCTATGTTAGATCAACAAATGCTCTTGCACCTGCTCAGATCAACTGCAAGTTGTATTTTAGCACATCATGTAAACATCCAAATTGTCAGCAAATTGTATCTGCATGTTTTGGAGTGTGACAAAATGTTGGCAGTAGTTGTATCCTGTAGACCAGTAGTCTGCAAGACAGCAGGAGTTAATAAACAAAATTTTCTTGTTGAATTTTAAGGGTTTGTCTAACTGTAAGTGTTAGACCTCGTAGAAGATATAATTACAGTAGAGCGTCGCTTATCCGAATTAATTGTGGACTGGGGTGGTTCGGATAACGAATTATGTACGAAAAAATATATTAATTTATCCCATGTTGAAATTTTTCTCCATTGCATGTCGCTTTGCGTTGAATTTTCGTCAATGTTAAGCCTAACGAAGACTATTGTATCGTTAAAAATTATTTTTTTATTTTGTACAAACAAAATAAATTTATTGAAAAATATAAAAACAATAAAAATTATACTTCAGATATTAATTGTATCAAAAACGTAAAATATTTGAGTAACCCAAGAAATAGCCGAAGATTGCAGCGCCACAGCACTAGCGAAAATTTAAATTTACCGACTGGAATGCTTTCGGATAACGGACGTTTCGGATAACCAGCTTTCGGATAAATGACGCTCTACTGTATTGAAAATTTAATTAATTCTAAAAATATAACTAGAGGTTAACATAATGAAAGATTAAAGTAGCTTTGATTTATCATTCTTGACAGATTTATTATGTAACACACTACTTTCTGAGCTCTTACACAATAAATAATGAATGATTAGCTTACACATCAAAGAAGTTGGGTATGGGATGGATATAGTTGGTTGATTGAGATACATGCTTCCCAAGCATCAACTTCTAAAATATAACATGCATCAAAATAGGATTTAATTCATTCGGACAAGTTAGAAATAAATGCTTTAATGCATTTTTCTGGAAGAAAGATTTAAACATTGAGTATTTATTCATTGCCACTTATCTAAGAATGATGTTGATATAGTAATGTGGCCTAGCCCAATTTATTCAAAGCTATTACACAGATACAGAAAAAAAGTATATGGCTGATAACAAGGTGGTATTCTGAATCGTGAGTAGGTGTGCCTACACATTAATGTAGATGTGGAGGAGTCTCAATACATTTATGCCAAATTACTTGTGAGAATTTCACAATTTACTTTGTACCCAAATTGAATTCTTCTTCTAATTGACAGGCTGACACCCTCATTGCTTTGGCCTTATGTTACAATTGAAAGATCAAACTTAGAAAGAAATTGAATTTAAATCACTGCAGTATGGTACATATTTTTGAACTTACGTAGTTGTTGGCCAAAGGAAAAGGTATGTCCATGGATGGAAAGAGTCAAAAAAAGTTTTTTGTGTAGTTTCAATTATTAATAATTATTCTGTTTTAATTAATGTTTAGAATATTTAACATTTTTCATTTCTTAAGATAACGCCACAAGTTTTTAAATATGTTTAATAATAGACATTTTGAATAAAGCTCCTTGAATGTAATAGATTATATAGACTAATTGTTACAAAAGAAAATAATAAGAACTTGAAGTGTTGTTTGTTTAAATAGAGTAATAGTTTTTGATAACCAAATGATTACTTTCACATAAGTGGATGAATGTGTACAATCTGCTTTCTTGGAGATTAAGATGGGAAAAAAGTTTCAGTTAAATCTTGAGCTAGAAAACCTGAAAGTACCATCTGTATGGTATTTGACACAGTAATGACATAAATGCATTCTGACTTCTAAATTAAATGTTAAGTTAAATGAACATTCTTAACAACACTCCAGCAACGAGTCATTAGTAATTCTTAAGAATGATTACTGATGATAACTCGTGCTGTTCCTTATCGTATCTAATGCCCCTGAGAGAATAGAGCAGTTGGTGAAAAGACCATTTTCGGCCCCTCTTTTGGAGACATTGCTTATTCAAATAACAATGATATTGAAGTAGAAAAATAATCTAGTATAAATGTTAGCTCATGACCAGAGTAGTTTCCTTATTTGGAAAAGATAATCAGAAAACAGTTAATTTTTAAATATTTTTTTTTCTCTGAGTGGCATCCTAGTTGCACCCCTTTTACAGAACAGATCATACTTTTGAAATTAGTCACTATAAAAAATTATAAATTTGTACTAAAAATTTTATTTGTACTAAAAATTGTGCAATGATTAGTTACTGATTTGTTCACTTGTAATTTTATCAAATTTAATACTGAATTTGACAGATCTATATTATTAATTAACAGTTTTGGTATAATTTAATTATAAAGACATTTTGGTTTTAAAGTGAAATTGCAAATTTGTGTGAGATGTTTGTAATTTTAAGATTTGATCTGATGAAAATAAATTTGTTCATCTATTATTTTGTTAAATGATAGCTGAACAAACATTAGTGTTAGAGAGAGTTTTATTACTCTGTTGCAGTTTTATCAAAAAGTATAAAATAATTAAAATGTCAATATTAATATGATAGTCATACGAAGATGACGACAATTATCCACATGTGGCCTGTGGATCCTTCCCGAAAGATTTTAACTATGGACTTGACGAGGGAGATGGAGATTATCCCAATTCTCTTCCAGGTGAATGTAAGCCCCGTATTCTATTGATGGGGCTTAGAAGGTAAGGACAATAGAATAATTGATATAAAAATAATTCTGAGAGACAAAATATTTGTGCAATCAATATTAGAAACAGCATGCTTTGAAAAATTACAAAAACTTTAGATAATGTAACTTACATTTCTGGGTTAAAATGAATTATTGGGCTGCAATTTGAAAAAATTGTAGACCTATAAATTTCCACTGTTGTTCACCCATTTGTCCATCTTTCCTTAATCTCAAGAATGGAGTTAGGTAGGTGAAAGACAATACCAGATACACAAACCTTAGGGGGCAGGAGGACCTGATTAACTATATATGAACTTATGATGCAAACTGGAAGTTGCATTATTTCAATTCAAAACTTTTCCCCTGAAAACAGTTAATAGATGACTGGCATGACTCTGTTAAAGGAAAATTACGATGTAGGGAAAGCCACTACTAATTTGAGATGGAGAGCATATATTTTAAATTAAATAAATTAAAAATACAATTAAAAATTGCAGTCCAGCATTGTGACAATGTCACAATAAGTAATTGTTTGTAAACTTGTACATTTTCCAAGTAATCTATAATATTTTGTCACCAGAAACATTATCACTTAAGGGTACAATTGATTGCTTATTTAAAACAATTAAAACATTGGTTATCAAGGAAATGTTTTTGATTTTGCTGCAATCATCATTGTCATGTAATGTCTATGGAACAGCATTATTGCTGCAATCATCATTGTCATCATGTCTATGGAACAGCATTATGCAAATACTGTGTATGTATTGGTTAAGGCTAATGATTACTACATTTCTTTGAGAATAAACTCCTTTTGGTTGCTTTAAGTAAGCAATTTCTATAGTTTTAGTTGTAACTTGTAGAAGCTTGTACATTGAAATATATTGTTTTGTAAAAACATTTGAAAAATGTTAGAAAAACTTCCCAAGTAGTATAATTCTTAGTATTTTTTTTATAAAAACACACAAAAATGCATGCAGAAACTTTTGATGAAAATTTTAAATATGAATGAATCTGTATATTCTAATTATTCTAAGTAACTATGCATTGAGAAATCATTATAATTTCTATTATTCTAATAATATATATGATTCTAATATATATATATATATATATCAAAAGAATACATTTCTAATGCAAAGATGATGAAAATTATTTAATTTGTACCTTATTCAAATAAAATATGGATGCCTAGCTTAAAATTCAATGTAGTCACCGAGCACCTCATCCACCAACTTTCTCAAAGTACCAGGAATTGGGACGTGGACAGATGGTCACTTCTGTGTATGTCTGCAACCAAACCTGTAGCCATTAACTTTGAATGACAATTCTTGATTGTTCTCAGATTGGATGGAATGATGTCCATTCCTCATTACATATTCCACCAACTCTACACAGCAATCACTGAATTCCACACTTAGCAGCAATCTACTCTCTCTTCTGAACAGACAAACAGTTGGCCAAATTTTTTTCTACTTCATGTGTGTAGTGCATCAGTGGTGCAGTTGCTGCCTACATCAACCAATGCAGGAATTATCAGGTCAGTCCATAAGTTTGTGTGCAATTTTATCTACAAAAAAAGCAACAAAAAATTTTAATTAAATTTTATTTCAATCTATAATGTATTCACCATTATTTTGTACAATTTCTTGCCATCTTGATGGTAGCTTTTTAATCCCGTCTTTGTAAAATGATTTCGGTTTTGAATCAAAATATTCAGAAATAGCCTTTTTTACATTGTTCTCATCCTCAAAAGTTTTTCCTTTTAAAAAATTATGCAAACTCCGAAAAAGATGATAATCACTGGGAGCAATATCTGGCAAATATGGTGGATGAGGTAAAATTTCCCAGTTGAAGCTTTGGAGTTGAGCAGTTGACGTCGTTGTCAGTTAGCTATTGACAGTTCATGTGGTATCCATTTTCCTAGCTTTGAAACTTTTCCGACTTGTGGTAGATGTCTATGAACTGTTCCATGGGATGAATTTAAACGTTCCGCAATTTCATCAACTGTTAAAGATGGTTCTGCTTCAACTAGTGCAGAGAGAGCATCATCATCAAAGTCAACGGGTCTTCCAGTACGAGTCTTATTTTCCACACTAAATTCATTATTTCTAAATCTGTCAAACCACTTCTGCACAGTCCTTACACTAATTACAGTTTGATTATGAACAGTATTTAATTTTTTGGCTGCATTTGTAGCATTCTCATCACTTAAAAATAAAAAGTATAAAACATGTCTCTTATATTCATCTGTTACTTCCATTTTAACGAAAATAAACAACTGAAATGTTCCCAATTCTGAACAGTATTATATAAATGAGATCCAATTTAACACTTCAGTGTAAAAAGTATCACATTAGACTGGCATTTTTAACAGCAAAACAAGATCATAAAATAAGCACAAACTTATGGACTGACCTAATATAAAAATCCATTGATTGACATACATGTGCACACAAACTTTATTATGATTGCATTGTTATTAAAGAATTATAGTGATTTCTCAGTGCCTAGTTACTTTCTGCCCACCCTGTACACATGGTTTTTGTCACTTTAAATTAAAATGATATCTACAAAACAATTCTCAATAATGTCTAGCTTCAATGTGAAACAAAGTATAGAAAAATTAAAAATTATCAAAACACAGCCACTCTAACAGATTTCATTATTTATAATTTGTCATTGACTAGATGGCATATGCCAAGCCAAAAAACTATTTCACATTCAGTTATGAAATTAACAGCACAACTGCCTATCAGCAATACAGAAAAATTAAATAGCTGTACATGCCAATTTATACTACTAGAGAAAGTTAATATACAATACTGTTTGTCAGTATTACATAAAAATATTTAAGTTTTGTGTACTTTTGACAATATATAAATGTCCTCTTCAGGCAGAATAGTTCGTAGAGAACAAAACATTTGAATTCAAAAATAGAACCCAAATAGAAGCTAACATTTTTACAAATCATTGTCCTGTATGGTCATAGAATTTTATTACCATACAGGATTACATACATAAAAGTTACAAAATTATATATAAAACTATGATTATATGTAAAAGAAAAACATTAAAAATATTGGCGTAAAATAATTAATAACAAAATAAACAATGAATAAGTCTGTCAGAGACTTTTGGCCTTAGATAAAAAAGTTTGTATTCTGCAGAAACTATGAATTTTTGCATAGGGCTAATAATTTTCTGCTACAGTCGTGATTGGTGTTAATTAGTGAAGGAAGATCCAAACCCTTCAGTGTTGAGAAAAGTAAAAAAAGTTGTTGCTATGCTGGGTGTAACATCAGCATTATCTGGACCTTTAGATCCACCAGCCAATGTAGCATGTCTCAGACTATTTTTTATGTAAAGGCACACACGTCTGTCTTGCCACTTTGCCCCTTAGTAAATAAGTGCTCCCATCCAATGTATTTCCTAGAAAAAGCACTTGTTAGAAAAATGAATGCCCTTGTTCCTAGCTTTAATCTTGTCTTATCTTCATCACTTGAAGCAAAGTTTGTAAGAGGCTTTGCTTCAAGTGGCATTTGGACTATACCTACAGTGACCATATTTTTTTGGGGAAAATAAAGGACATATCGAAGAAAATCAAAAAATACCTTATAAAATTCATAAGTTTATAACATTTATTACGAAAATAGTAGCATACAACAATGCATACATTAAAATTTTAAACAATCTGAATCATTACACATACACACATTGTAAAAATTTAAATAACATTAATTTTGATACTTTTCAGTAGAATTAATTTTTTTTTAGCGCGCCGTTTCATGCTTTAAAGTCATAAAATTCCATACAGTTCATTTGAAAGTTGTATTTGATGGAAATACATGCTTCTAATGTGCTTACTTTTAAATCAGTTTTTTCATTCGTCCACATATTATTCACCAATGAAAATATTCGTTCAACGGGGGCATTAGATCCAGGGAGACAAAGAAAATTCTACGATTTTACAAATGTTTTTGAAAACAATTTCTTTTGCTGTAAAATGTTCAAAAATCTCAATCCACCTTTGATGGCAGGGCTGGTTATTCTGTCACCATTCGTCGATCTTTTCGTTTGTGACATATTTTTTTACACATGAAACTTCATCAAATAATTCACCGTCGAGTATATTTACGGACCAATGATTCGAAATAAAGATATAGCTTTCCTCTACTTTCACCCACAAAGTGATTTTGCATAATGTGACCCATTCAAACACCTCTATTTCAATAAAAAACATGTCCCAATTATTTAGATAATCTATGCACGTTTGATAAAATGTGTACACAGCATCATTGAATTTTTTGGCTTGTATATTTTTTGATTTTTCTAATGCTAAAATCACTTTTCTAATAACAATAGGAAGAAACCCCTCATTTTTCTTTCAACTAACTTTAGCTTTAATTAACAAGTGTATCATCCACCAACTAGAGAGTTAAAAAACTATCACAAAAATCCCCATAAGTGTGTCCACCCCCTGGTACTGTCAGTGGCCGTTTGGTTGGCGATACACTGCACTACTGTGCTCTATGTAGCAATGCAACACTGGTCGTGATGGCATACACAAAACTAACTTGTTCAATATATTATTAAAAAAATTTTTAAACTTTGTGTCAACTTTACAAAATAAAGGACAAAATGCCTATTTTAGAAAATAAATAAAGTTAAAGGACAGAGCAGTGAAATAAAGGACTGTCCTCTTAAATAAAGTTAAAGGACAGAGCAGTGAAATAAAGGACTGTCCTCTTAAATAAAGGACATATGGTCACTGTAACTATACCTCCAAATTTGTACCAACTTTTCAAACTGTTTAGATGTGTTTGCATTATATGTGTCTGTGTCCCATTTTGAAGCAGTCATGCTTGCAAACACCTTATTTGAGAATCAAGGCACTTTTACTAATTACGGAGAACAATTATTTCTGTTTCAATGGAAACAGAAATAATTTTTTTCAGTAATTAGCTCAGTTTACTTACAAAAGCAGTGTGTCTATGGGTTTGCCTCTATTGG